TCAGGCATATTCTGCAGCTAAAAGAGTAACGTTGACAATCTAGCCGACTCTTCCAGGGAATTGGTAGATAATGCCAGTGTGGTACTCTGTTACTGGTTGGTTAGAGACAGTAAAGGATACGACATCGAATCGGAGGTTGTAGCGGTCTTGCTGTCGTTTCTCATCAGAATGCCCGAAAGGGTACGCATGGGTTGTGCACTCTATTTGTTGACCATAGAGGTTCTCCTCTGTCTAATTAGGCCCAAACCCTATCCATCTTGTCCTTTCTCACGTACTTTGCATACATTATGAGCTTGACAGCGATCGGGAAGTTCTTTTCTCTGTATCTTGCTGTACGTTGATGATGACGGGGTACGGCATAGAAGTCTGAAGTTATGCAATACTTGATCAATAAAGATTTTATCTCCTCAAATGCAGGCTACGGAGACGGTTAGGTTTCCAGGGCTTTCAGCCATTCAGCACAGGTCTTCAAATTTAGTCTGTTTCTCATTTTCTTCATTGCCATCATTGGATGTCTGAGCTTTTTCAATCACTATTTCGACACCTACATTACGTGGACTAATGTATTTGAAACAATTATGTGAAATGGCACCGAAGCACGTTTGACTAAGTTTACTCGCTTTTAGTGACTCTTCCACACTTTGTACGGAATATTCCACTGGACGATGATTCGCCAGCGAAAGATAATCTGACTCTTTTGGGTTATAGTTGGGGAGCCGGGACTCCCCGACGGAATACCTGCCAGATCTTTTATAAGTGCGCGAAGAAGACAAGGGACTAACGCGGATCTCGAACACTGCCTAGTTAACAGTAGAAATTTCTTCGCTAAAGATGGCCGCTGAACGTATACAAAGGTGCAACCACGCCGATTAATATTAGCATTTTTCGGTAGATTCCTTATTTCGATAGGTCGGTTTGAGGGCAAAACAGACTAAGCAAAGTTGAACTTGAATACACTTGATTTTTCTCGTGACGACTTCTGAACACAGGTATCTGTCCAGTAAACATTGGTAGACAGAATTTGCCCACAAAATGCATCCATTTCTATTAAAAACTCAGTTTTTCTTCAATGCGCCGCCAACTCCCACCGATGTACACTGATTAAATTGGGTCTGCAGATATCCATCACTAATATCTTTTTACCTAAGCTTATTATTTTTTACTCATCGTTGTACTTTCCCAATCTTACCTAGGAACAAGCCAGGCAGTATCTTGCTCACCTGACCTCGGAATCAAACCTACGCGAAGAATTACCCGCTCAATTTCTCCGTTTAGCCAGGCGTGTGATAAATGAACGTCCTCGTTCCGACGCTCGTTGGCGTCACGCCTTCCCCAATCGAATTGCCATCCATACAGATGCGCAGGGTACTCTAACTCCGGAAGGATGTATCGGCTTTCAGTTTGTCACGTCTGCTCGTTGTGTCGAACCCATTTTACCACAATCTCGTTTTGATATAAAAACAGAATCGTTAACTCGATTGGCGGAGTTGTGGAAGCTCACTATCAGTACGGTCAACGCACCGCGCAGTGGTGTGAATGTTTTTATCCCACTGACTGACGTATGTAGCATTTTGGGCTATTGTCTACCAAGTTCGGAACACCATCTAGAGTCCGGCGAAGACGGTTCGTCGATGTCTGCTTTCTCTACACACACCCGTCGATGGATGGCTGGGGAAAAGGAGTTACACGAGACGCATGAACAAGTGCTACCCACTGAACCGAACATTCAAGACGGCCTGGGCGAGGCGGAGAGATCAGCATTATGTTCGTTTGCGTCTTCATTGGCTGATGAAGACAATAATGCGATTGAATCATTTGCAACCCGTTTGGTCAAGCAGTTCGATCCGGATAAAATTTTGCGCGCTGCTGATGACTGTCCCCTCGACAATATCGGCACGGATGCCAGCGTTCACATTCTGGCCGGTCTAGACGTGGCCGGTGAGCTGGTTGAATTTACTCGCGGATTACACGCTAAGCTATCCCGGTGCGTCACTTCAGTTGCAATTTTTTTGCTTGTTTGCTGTTGGACTTTATTCTGTTTTCCCGCTCCTCCTTTCCATTCTGTGGAATATTACAATATTTCAAGCGGTGCATCTGAAATACAAGTGGTTGTTTTATAATTTAGAGCTGCCTATCATCGGCACAGGGGTATCCTATGTACCACAATTGGGGGGGGGGGGGGGCAATGAAGAGAGCCATGAAAACGGAGAATAACACAAGCCAGAGAGATGTTTCGTGTGGTGGGTGGAAATTTCTCTGGTAATTGGTAACGGCCGGGTCTGGGTGAACAGAGTAAAGATGTATGGCTAGTGTTCGTTCCAAGTAAGCAAACCAAGAAAAATGAATTTATCACTAATTCTGTCCGGGGACCATGGGTACCGAAAAATCAATCCGCCAAGCTTCGACCCAAGGTACGCGGCACAAGTTGCACGCATAAACTCAATTCGCCGATGACACTGCGCCTAAGGACCCCAATGAGAACAATGCGCCGAGTTAATTTTGATGAAGTCAGTGAATGTGGGCGCAACGGCTGTGGAGGTGAACCGCATATTAGTATTCCAAGACCTTATTACCTATTGGGATCTCTCACTTTTTCTGATTTACGGGACCACGATTGATTGATGCTAAATAATCGTACGCTTGTGGTGACTAAATAAAATGGAACGGTCACAGGTGCATGTCAGCAATTCAAAATCCAGGGGCGTGTGATGGTACTGCAGATCATTCGGAACGGTAATGAGATTCCAAATTGGTGTGATTACTGTACAGTTACGGTTATCTTTCTGTACAAGACTCTGTCGACTTGCCACAAAGTGACCAAATTGTCATATATGCTCTCAGCGCTCTTCGAAAGAGCCCTCGGTTTATTGCATATAGAAACACCTGATTCCTGTCATGTTGGTGAAAATTTTCATGCCAGGCGTGTTCGGAGATTTTTCAACCTGCGCTTTAAAAATGATGCAGGCAATGCTTGCCCGTTGAATGTGACACATCTATTCTGGTTCATTGGTTTTGCTCGCACCGTTTCTACCTGTGGTCACCATAGATGCGTTCATTCCAAATATCATGATACTAGGGGCAGGAACGGTCTCGGGCTAATTCTACAATAGCGGCATTTCTACTAAACCTTTCAGATGAGATCGGTTTCCTGACTGCAGTCTGACTTGGATGCTTTTCAGTGTGATGATGCTTCCGTAATCCAGTCCACTACTGGTAGCTTTTATTCGAAACCGTTGTTCCCCAAATCATTTTTTGCACCCTATTTGTTTTGATGTAGACTACAGTCTAATTTAAATTTTTGTTGTTTTCCTTTCTTCTGCTCGGCGTTATCTTCAATTTGCGCTCTATCCTCCTTACCCAGTGATCCTGAGGTTCGTCTGCAACCGGTGTTCCAGGCTGTTGCAATGGAGGCAGGATTTTCCGCTAACTGTCTGCAAGTAGTTGGACCCCAAGAAGCAGTTATGCAAACAGTAAGTTCTAAGGCTTTTGCTTTTGATAGACGGTCCTTCTTATATCTTGTCATAGTTATGGATCATAACCAAAGAGAGAAAGAAACTGTAGTTTGAAAACTATTGAACTTACAAGTAAAAATCTGTTTATTGATTATTCTACTGATGGAGCATTGTGAGAAAACAAGAGGCAAACAGATATACGGTGTTCTTTAGCCGTTCTATCATCAAAATATTGTGAAATGGTATTTCGACAAGTGGATATATTCCCGAGGTAAGCTTGGCTTATCGCTTGTTCATGTATGTATGTATGTTCATATTTACAAGGGTAAATAGATCTCTGAAAACACAGAGTAATGTTTGTGAGTACTTATGATAGGTAATAGTAACGTTGGCCGAATCTAATCGAAATACTACCCCGGTTGTGGGTCATGAGCAACACACAAAGGAAACGTCTGGTTAATTATCAAGTGCATACGGTCTTGTTAAACACGGTATAAAATGATTTGAGTGGTCGAGCAACTATCGCATGCATGTATCTATACGTGTTCGACCTCGTCGTTGTGATTTAGCTACTGATAAGTAGTATTGGACCGAATATACGTATAGTAAACACTTACTTCAGCTTGACTGTTAATTTTGAAACTTTTCTTAGAGTTTAGGGTCAGTGTTACGGTCTTGAATTTCAGTTGGTGCTAGGTACTTCGAATATCTTCAGTCAACTATTAGTGGAGAGGTATGAAGTTCGTATGGCAAAATATATTTTGTGCGTAGGTATGTGATTTATATTGTGTTTGCCCACTCATTGTAAACTGTGTGGTTCTCGAATGTGAATTTCGGATGGGCTCAAGTACATTCGAACGATGTGTAATGTAGTTGGTGAAGGATTTCATTCGACTGTATGGTGAATTTCGTCGCATTCAGAGCAAACGAAGTGTGAACTTGCATCAGTTCATTTCAGTTTGTACAGCCATTAACCATGCACTATCCTGCGCCGGTTTTGGTTGCTATCTTTCGGCTGCCCATTTGGATGAACATTGGGAGAAAGACAGGAAAGGTTGAAAGTTGGATCGAAGAGAAGATTGAAAAGTTCAGTGGATTAATGATAAAGAGAAATTGAGAAGATGCACGAACGCCACTGTTTACGACACCCAGCCATATCACTCAGTGTCTCTAAACATCGGATACTACTATCCCAAGTTTCCCATCCAGGGAGCCCAACTGGACCTATGTGACCCAGACTCCTGGTTAGGGTTTTCATACCCTCATGCTAGGTCTTTGCCTGACCACCCTGGGCTTTATTCCGGCCACTACCTGCCTCGGTAAACATCGCTCGCCATGGCAGCCTATTTGGTGACATGCGTAACACATGCCCCAGCCAACGTAATCTATGTAGGTCTACCACTTGCTCCACTGAGCGACCGCTGTTGCCTAAAATTTTTCACCTGACCTCAGCATTGCTCGTCCGGCTGCCCCACCAGATTCGTGCAATGCCGCGTAGACAACAATGTTCAAACACCGACAGTCTATCTTTGTCGTGTTTTCTCAATGGCCAAGTTTCTGCTCTATATAGCAGAACTGGTCGAACTGCTGCAGCATACACTCGACCCTTCACAGACAGCCGGATGTCGCGACGGCGCCACAGATGTCTCAAGTTGGCAAATGCCATCCGGGCCTTCTGTATGCGAACTGACACCTCATCTGTGATGCGTCCACCGAGTGAGATGTAGCTACCCAGATAACAAAACTTATCCATCTGCTCTNCCCATTTAGAATGAGGCTGGGTGCTGGAACAATCCGGTCTTGTAGTAACATTTTACACTTTGTAGGTGCAAAACGCATACCGAACATAGCTACATTAGCATTCCGGAATGGGAAAGGTGTGGTTATGCACCAGTGGGTGAATTTTGTGGGATACGTGTGGGATCTAATGAGCATAGTACGTCAGCATCCCAACCACTCGTCTTTGCGAAGCGATATTCTTTGGGGGAGCTAGTTCCCTCAGGGCAGAGAATCGTTCGAGGTCTGGCTTGATCAGTCCTTTGGAAACTTCGTACTCGAGAAGAAGAATTTTGTTAGCACCAATTACACTTTTGTGTTCATTGAACGTTATACCTTGTTTCTTAGCGAC